GCTGTTCTTTCTTCCCAATAGAGGTTTTTGATAACTCTCGTGTCTTTTCCATCAATGTCAAAATTTTCCAACACACCCATAAGCTCCATGTGTTTCAGGCTATCGAAAGTTTTGAAGTAATCGACAAAGCACATAAATAAGTCTTCCTACATTTCAATCGCTCGTTCACTGATCACTCAGATTAAATTACAAGATAATATTTTTTAAAAGTAAGAAAAAAAGTAAATACATGAGAGTAAAACTTTGTTGAGTTTATTTAATTTTGCTATAAATAATTAAATAAGTAAATTTATTTGATTTAAATTTAATTTTCCTCTACGAAATTTTTTTTTAAATTTTTACACTAAGTTGGTTAATTCAATTTTATGAACTAGATGTGCAAACATTTCAAATGAAATTATTTTGGAAACAATCGAAGAAAAGTTGTGAAACAACATTTATACAACGTGTGTGTGTGGTGTGTGTGTGTGTGTGTGGTGTGTGTGCGCGCGCGTGTGTGTGTGGGTTCGTGTGAACGTGTATCATCGTCTTCGTCAATCAAATGTCGTTATTAAGGCTGTACTAACCACATCACACGACGCACTTACATACGGGTACGATGACCTTTGAGTTTCAGTCAGAAGGTATTCGAACCATGCCATCGCGTAAAGCCGGCCCGAGACATGGCACTTTTACCAACTGAGCTAAATTCGGTCACCACAATCACTTCTACCACCATCACCATGATCATCACCACAAGTTTCGTCATCACTATCATCATCATCATCTTCCTTCTCGTCATCATCATCATCATCATAAATATCTAACCGGGGGTTACATAGTCTCCTGAACGACGAAACAGTCAGAAGATCAGATATGTTATAATTGAATGGAGATATCAGGGGGCTTGACCGATTGATTAATTGACTGAGTGAATGATTGATTGATTGATTAGTTGATTGATTGACAAGTTAATTGATTAATTGATTGATCGATTGACTGACTGACTGACTGACTGACTTACTGACTGATTGATTGATTGATCGATCGATCGATCGATCGATCGATCGATCGATCGATCGATCGATTGATTGATTGATTGATTGATTGATTGATTGATTGATTGATTGATTGATTGATTGATTGATTGATTGATTGATTGATTGATTGATTGATTGATTGATTGATTGATTGATTGATTGATTGATTGATGGACTGATTAATTATCGACCAATTGATTCACTAATTAGTTGGTTGTTTTGGGACGATAAATTAGTTTTATTTAATTTGTTTTATTCTATCATTATGAAGTTGTTCTACGAATGAATGAATACAAAATTATGTCAATAAAAAAATAGTTTTTCTTCATTGTATGTCCAAAATCTTGTCCAGGCTAACCCCACTCATTAATTTTATGTCCAAAATATCATTGACAATTTTAAAAACATTTTTGGCTAAGCAAATATGAAACGCTTGAAAATATCATTAAAAACTGTTTAACGCAACAGTGTAATGGTATTAGTGTGTGTTTGTTTGTGTATGTGTGTATGTGTACATATATATACACATACACGCATGCACACATTTCATGAATTCTATACGAGGCCCTTCAGTTGAACCCCGCATCATTCAAACATGCTTAAATAAATATTTTGTTGCAAACATTTCTAGATGTGCATACGCACACACACACACACACACGCGCGCGCGCGCGCACGCACGCACCCACACGCATACGCAAACACGCACGCACACAAAATTAATAACGGACTAGCTTCCAATTAACGTGATTCATTATTGTAAACAGCAATCAATAACCACTTGAAAGCAATTGAGAGCTCCTCAAATCATAACAGCTTAATATTTAAATCTGTTTTTATGATGTTTAATTGAACAAACACACACACACACGCACATACACACATAAACAATTACACATAAACTCATAATTATACAAAATCATATACATACATACACGTACACACAGTCACATATTTGTATATACTTACTTTACATAAGTACATACACAAATATATATGAATATATAAATGCACATAGATGAATACACAAATGCACACAAACCATACACATACACAAACACATACATCTAAAATACACACACAAACCCATATATCTAAAATACACACACAAACACCCAAACACACACACAGACAAAACATCATTTGTTCGACGAAATGTTTGTAGATAGAATTTGTAATGTTCTGTTCTAAGTACTTAGCAAATGCTTCGATTGCCAGTTTAATGAAAACAAGACGGAATACCATTAGAATATTTTATACTTTTATACTGTTTATGTAGTTGTGTGTGTGTCTGTGTGCGTGTGTGTTTATGTTTTTCTGTGTGTGTGCGTGTATCTGTATTGTTGTGTTGTGTATGTTTCACTGTGTGTGAGAGAGAGAGAGAGAGAGAAAGAGAGAGAGAGAGAGAGAGTAGTGTGCGTATATTGTTTACTTAAAAAATTAATTAATTTATTGGGTAAGGATTCCAATTCCGACAATTTATTTGATTTCAAATTTTTCTTTTACTTTTTCTCACTGATGTAGAATTACTGGTTTGTATAGTAATTTTATTTTTCCTCAAAGTGAACTTTAAAATTTTTTAGGCATGATTTTAAATGATACAGTATTACGATAATGATGAGGATAATGATGATGACGACAAAGACGACGACGATGATGATGATGAGAAAGTTTACAATGACGATGACGACGATGATGATGTAGATGATGATGACGATGATGACAATGATGATATCAGTGTTGATGATTTTAATGGTGGCGATTAAAAAAACCAAAGCGAGGAAAAACTGAGAAAAAAATATTCTACAAAAACCCCATCATAAACATCAGCGATAGTTCGGTGATAACATTCTCGGCAACGAAGGACTAAATTTTCAAAATTTTTTGAATATTTAGATAAAGATGCCGACAACGATGATAAAAATATAACAACGATGTTGATGTTAAAAAGATGTTGTTCGTTATTAAAATGTACTAATGAAACATCCGTGTTTCTAATTGGGCTGACTGAACGTGAATTTAAATAAGTTTTGCTGGTTAGCACTGATAATTCGAGAAATGATACTGAAAACTGATAAAGATTACAAAGATAAGCGATGATAATTACACACCCATATAACTATTACTACACACACACACACACAAACACACATGCACGCAAACACACGCACACGCACGCACACATATTTGCGACCGGTGAATTTTTATGCAAGACTGATGGCCGGCTAGATTGACAAATCAAAACAAAGTTCAGAGAAACGTTAATAAAATTTTAATATAATAAATAATAACGTGACGCCATGCGTTATTGGATATTATTATTATTATTCAAATTATTATTATTATTATTTTTATTTGTATTATTTTTGTTTGTTTAAGGGCGGATGTAGACAAATTTGACGGGTGAGGAGGGGCTGAGGCAGAGATAGACCGAGGACCAAAATCTTAGATTACTTGATTCTTTAGCTTATCAAACAATTTTGTGTCAATTTTTCTTTTTAACGTAAGAAAACTTACTAAACAAAACCTGTAGGATTAGTAGTAAAAGTTGTAGTAGTAGTAGTTGTTGTTGTAGTAGTAGTAGTAGTTGTTGTTGTTGTTGTAGTAGCATTAGTACAAAAACAAAAAATAAAACAATACGAAGAGTAGAAATGGTTTTAATTAGCATTGATTATATCTTGTTAAAAATCGTTGTTGAAATAAACCTTGTTATATAGAATAGATGTTTTGTTGTTGACAATTTCAACAATGACATTGAATTTTCTAATATGAAAATAATAATGTGACATCCAAAAATAAAACACCCATTCAAAAGTTTAAAAAGTTTTGAACAACTAACCTGTTACGAAAGCCTTGAAAGACCGGAACTTTCTGACTTTTTATCTTTGTGACGCGAAGAAATGGTTTAGTAGTGCAGTTTGCTGCTTTTATTATTATGTTTATTATTTGTAATTATAAATGTGAGTGAATTGTTGAGGATGTTGATCGCAGTGCTGTTGTTTCAATATTTTACACTTGCAATAAAATGTTTTTGATGTGAAATGTTTAGATTCAATTGTGTTTTGCTAGTTTTAAAGTGTTGATTTGAGATAAGTTGAAGTATTTTTTGTAAAGTTTTCTTTGGTGTAAATTTCAATAGCGTTTTATGAACTAGATTGTAAAAAAGTTGACTATGTATCATTAAATTTTTGAAATTATTGGTTGAAAATTGTTTCAATTTAATTAATGTTGTTAATTACGTAGTTGGTTTGTTTTGTTCTTGACTGATAGTTTTTTTATACATAAATCTTCACAGAAGTTTTTTTTTGAAAGATTGATTTTGAATGCAGATGAAATAGAAATTAAAGAGTGCCGTTCTGGTTTTTCTTTTGCAAAAAATATTTTGATAGAAAATGCTTTTTATCCAAGACAATTTTGAGAGTGTTGCTGTAAAAAGCTGTGAATCGAAAAAAGTATGGCTCTGAAATGAAAAATAGTAAAAATTGTGATAAAATAAATATGTTTACTCAGCCTATTGTAATTTTGATACCATTAAACAGTATTCAAATTGGTAGTTTACGATCAGATGACATAGAATAGAATTGATCAGATGTAAGTTTCGCAGAAAGTTTCAAACTAAAAATACCAGATAGACTTGAAATTATGGTATTAAAAAGTGTTAAAAATGATTTTATTCTTCAAAAAATTTAAATGAAAATAAAACTTTTAAAAAATTAAACAGATCTCTCTAATGAACGCTGAAAAAAGACCACAAAAAAATCGCTTTTGAAAATTATTCTTAAAAAAGTTGCCATATAAACATCGAAACATCACATTAAAAGATTCAGAGAAGTTTAAATTATTTAATTCATCAATACAATAAAATTTAAAAAGAGAATGTGAAATAACTTTTCAATAAAACGATTAAAATTCACAATAAGATACGAAAAATACTCATAAAAAATGAAAAATAAAAAAATTCAACCCAACCAGTGATCAGAAATGAGTGGAGCAGGGGCAAACGAACCCAACCTTATATACTTCCCAGAAGTGAGGATTACATATCAGGCCTTCTTCACTCCTATCTATGCTTCTTATACTGCAAAGCATATATGGGTTGCTTTAGTTGGATGCTTATAAAGGTATATAACACATACTATTCTTATTTTTTTCCTATTATGTATGTGGGTGTGCATATGTGTGTCCGTGTGTGCGTGTGTGTGCGTGGTGTGTGTGGTGTGTGTGCGTTAATGTGTATATGTATTTTATATGCGTACCAGTCTTTAAATTCTCTCCCACTCGTCCTCAATCTTCAACCAGTGATCCATCAACAAAATTCCGCATAACTATTTTTAAACATCAGGAGATGATTTTTACCAATCCTGAAAATTGGCCTATCGGTGTGGAAATTCACCCTTGGTTGTTTCATGCTCGACCACAGCATTTGATAAAACCCACTACAACTTCACTACCAAATCATCATCCCGTCGACCTACTAAATGTTAATACACCATCGCTGGTCAACTCACATCAGCATGTAGATAACACAGTTGAGGTAGCTTCCATTTTAACTTCTTCGGAAAAATCCATTCAGCCAGTCGAGTTAGTCACGATGGGCCCTTCTCAGCTGGTCGAACCACATAAACAACAAGCCTCATCGACGATGAGTCCTCCCTCCAATGTCAATTCTGCGACATCAATAAATCACGACAATGGCTGTTAACAATACTTATTCTACAATCAATTCTATCCAACAACATCCTCAACCATCAAACAACGACGAAGATGATCAACACTTTAACGCATACAACACCCACATCGACCCCACAAAGAACCTCCTAGATTCATTCACCAGACAGTCATCCTACTACACCACAAGAGATCTACTCAACATTCTAGAAGCCAAGTACATCAACAATCATGATCACCCTCTACCTCTACTTCACATAAACAGCAGAAGTCTTTTAAATAAAATTTCTGACATTTTAATTTTAAATAAATTTTTATCTTATTTTTTTCCCATTATTATTATTTCAGAGACATGGCTGAATGACGAAATCGCTAAACTAGTTCGTAAGAATGATTACAATTTTGTTTTTAAAAATAGGTCTGACAGAATAGGTGGTGGAGTCGGAATCTTCATCAGATCAGGCATTGAATTTTCTATGATAAACAATTTGCTTCTGAACGACACCGTTATTGACCTTCTTGGTGTCAATTTAAAATTAAACAACACACACGTAAATATTTTAGCAGTATATAGACCCCCCAACACTGACCCTAATATCTTAATCCAAAAGCTCGAACTTATTTTATCCACATTCAAGCCACACATAAAGAGCTATTTAATTGGCGACTTTAACCTTGACCTCAATAAACTCAAAAGTGACAACGTCGTTGCTGACTTCTCTAACCTACTATCATCATACAACTTCTTACCTCTTATAACCTCCTCTACTCGCATCTCAACTTCTTCTTGCTCACTCATCGACAATATCTTTACTAACAACCTAACTTCTCACTTATCTGGAATAATACTGTCTGATATATCTGATTATTTCCCTATATTCGCCATCGCTTCCAAATAAGAAATCTCAAACCATGCCCCTATTAAGCACTTCAGAAACCTAACTGAAGAATCTATAAACAACATCAACAATTTCTTATCGAACTACAACTGGAATTCTTTGACTTGTCTAAAAATGTCAACGACTGCTGCTCTGTTTTGAATACTATCTTAACTCACTCTCTAGACACTTTTGCCCCCCTCCGTCCTGTCAAAAACAAAAAGAAAAAATGCTGGATCAATGACAACATTCTAAGTCTTGCAAAAAAGAAAAACAAACTATACATCATAAGCCTTAAATATCCAACCACCCGCAACATTGCCATCTACAAAAGCTTCAGAAACATGTTCACATCTTTTAAACGAAAAACTGAACGAGACTACTTCTCTAACAAACTTGAAGACGAACATAACAATGTTGGACAAAAATGGAACTCTATCAAAAAAATTCTAAACAAGCAACCTCCTAACTCATCAATCACCAAACTAACTATCAACAACCAAGTAATTGAAAATAAACAAGAAATTTGTGACCTTCTCAACACCCACTTTGCAAACATCGCTAGTCAACTACTCTCAAACCAACCTCCCAGCTATGGTAGTCCTACCGATTTTATGAGCCCATCCACACCCCATTCCATTTGTCTATATCCTGTTACTGAACAAGAAATATTAACTACTGTTAATATCTTGAAAAACAAAAAGAGCTATGCAGACGATGGACTCAACATGTTCCTTATCAAAAGCATAATTTTCTCTATCATATCACCACTTAATCATATTTTCAACTTATCACTAAGCACTGGAATCTTTCCTGACTCATTTAAAATAGCCAAAATCATACCAGTATTCAAAAAAGGAAACAAAGATGACATTAACAACTACAGACCCATCTCCATTCTTTCCCCGCTGTCAAAAATTCTTGAAAAACTTTTCTTTAAAAGACTCTCTAATTTCTTCTGCTCCAACAATACTATCTGCAATAACCAATACGGATTCAGACCCAACCACTCAACTGAGCTTGCTATTCTTGACTTCACTCAGCATATACTAAATGAAATGAATAACAAAAATTTTTCTATCGGCATTTTCCTGGACTTATCCAAAGCCTTCGATGTCATCGATCACAAAATACTCCTATCCAAACTACATCATTACGGAGTAAGAGGCACAGCTCACAACTGGATGAGAAGCTATCTTTCATCACGGACACAATATGTTTCCATGGACAACATCAATTCAAAGCACGCTCCTATTCATCACGGGGTGCCACAAGGATCCATACTAGGACCCCTTCTATTTTCTATCTACATAAATGACCTCTGCAATGTTTCGCCCTCAACCAAATGCGTACTGTTCGCAGACGACACCAACCTTCTTTTTACTTCCAACAACCTACCAGATTGCTCTGAACATATCAATCTTGAACTCCAAAAATACTCTAACTGGTTATCCAATAACAAACTAATCATAAATTATTCGAAATGTGCATACATTATTTTTGGCCCAAAAATACTCACCAATCAAGCTCCTAACCTAAACCTATTAGTTAATGGTGTTCCTATAAGCCGCACCCTGTCAACCAAATTTCTTGGAATCACCATCACAGAAAATCTTTCATGGAATTCTCACCTACAAACTACCTCAAACAAAATCAACAAACTCACAGGCATCTTTTACAAAATCAAATATAAACTCTCTCTTTCTGCTCTACACACGCTTTATTACACATTCATCTACCCTTATCTAACCTACTGCATCACACTATGGGGAAATAGTCCAAAAAGCCACCTGAATAACCTAATACTCTCCCAAAAAATATCAATACGTTTAATTTTTAACCTCAAACCCGATTCTCATACTAAACCCTTTTTCCTAGCAAAAAAAATTTTACCACTTAACTTCATCTGTCTTTACTACTCTGCTTTATTCTTTTTTAAATTTATCAACAATCTTCTCCCACCTCACTTTATCAACTTCTACACATTAAGTAACTCCGTTCAATCTACAACCACTAGACACACCCCTCTCTTCTATATCTACAAAACTCGCCTCAAATTAATCCAGACAAGCATAAAAATAACAGGTCCTAAAATTTGGACAGAACTTGTACCTCCCCATCTAAGAGCCATCATAAACCTAAAACATTTCAAGTCAAAATTCCGTGCTTTTTTATTGACACTGGATCTCGACTCCACCACCTAATACTATATTAAGAATACGTTAAAACAAATGATGCGGATGAATGGTCTTTATGAATGGTTAAACATTTATGTGTTTATATATGTACTGAGCAAACATTTACATAGTTATATGTCTATATATGTATGACACGAACATTTACTTATTTATCTTCAATTATCTTGACCACCACAAGACAAACAGTCTTATTCGGTCTCCGCATATTCAACTTCACAACTTTTATTCATTTATTTGATATGTTGTTGATTATGAATAAAACTTTGAAATGAATGAAATGAAAATGTGTTTTTCTTTGCAGCAAATATAATTTTATCAATTCGTGATTGCACATGCACAAGTATGTTGAAAGGTTGGAAGAATTAATTATATACATACGAATAACGTTCAAGTGTGTGCCTGTGTATATGTGTGTGAGCTTGAGTATGCGTGTGTGTGCGTATGTGTATTTGTGTGTATGTATGAGTATATGTGTTTGCGAGTGTGTGTGTGTTGGGGTTCACAAAGATGTAGACAGTACACAGGCAGAAACATGCGGAGAGAGATAGGAGTTTATAGATTCCATTCTGTCAAAGATTTGAAAATATGATGGGAAAAAATCCATAAAAATGGAAGAGTAAGTCAGATGGAGTAGATAGATGTAACAATGGATAAATAAAACGTGACGGAATAAATGAATGAATGAATGAACGAATGAACGAACGAACGAATGAATGAATGAGTGAATACACGAACGAATGAATAAATGAATGAAGGAATGAACGAACGAACGAACGAATAAATCACATACAAACATAATTAATACACAAGACATACAATATAGAAAAATTGAATGACAGAAGAAAAGAAAATAAATAAAGGAATGAATGGAACATTCGCTGGAGCACTTGATAATTAGATATGAGTTCATTGCTTTTTTCTCAATATTACTTCGTGCAATGATACGAAAATGCGTCAGTTTGCGTCTATATTTGTTTGTGTGTGTAGGTATGTGCGCGTATGTTAGTATTTTGTGTATTGTGTACGTGTTTATATGTGTGTTTTTTGCGTGTTCGTTATATAGAGGTTTGTGTTTATGTGATAGCTTGAATGTTTGGGCTTTAATTATTATCTGCTTATATTAAGTTGTATGAATATTTGCAACACACATACGAACACACACAAACAAACAGACATACGCGAACACATACACACACACGCACTCACACTACTCAATATGTACGCCTACTCCCCACCATGCATACAAAAGTGTACATTAAAGATTGCACGTACGCTCCGTTGCACGCACGCACATTAATTGATATAAGCAAGCACGCCTCCAGTTCCACACTGGCAGCCAATAAACACATAGATAAAACAAACAAACAAATTCGTTCATTTGTTTCTTTTTTATTATTTATTCATTAAAATTTATAAATTTAATGTAAGTCAACCAAACCGCTGTTGAAAGATTTGCTCAGGGAACACTCCCTTCAAACAGTCTCACCGAAAAACACACTCTCAGAAAAACGCAACACACACATACACGCACATAGAAGAACAAAAACCACACATATTCAAACAGACAGACAAACAAACAAACGCAGACAAAAAGACAAAAGCTTTCCTTGGAACGGAAGCTTGCTTTCATAAAAATCAGAAACAATTCACTAATAACAGTCCAACAAACAACATACATCGTACAGCAAAAACCACACATACATACACAAATTGACACAAATAATCACCAGTATGTAAACACATACGCACGTACACACGCACGTACAGACACGCACAGACGAGCACACACACGCATAGATGTAGACAGACTTAATAACCTTAGCTCTGACAAGCGCGTGCTAAAAATTGATAATGAGCCTTTAAATCATGGATGGAGAATAGGATGATGATAACGATGATGATGACGATGATGATGACGATGGTGATGATAATGACAGTAACAAATGTCAACATTAAACTAAGAATGATGATAATAAAATTTGCATTTTACTAAACAGATAAAAAGAATACCATACTAAAAATGATGATGACACCCACAATGGTATCAATTATTAGAATATTAATGATGGTGATGACGATGACGTCATCATCATCGTCATCGTCATGGTGAAGGTATAACTTGGTGAATGGCTGGCATGTTGCTGAGTCAATATTGACCTGAATGACCATATCAGCCTCTCTAGGTGATAATGATAATAATATAAAAGAAGAAAATATTAATAATTACGCTAATGATGATAATGACGACGAAGATGATGAGGGTGACGATGATGATGACAATGGGGGCGGTAATTAAAAATGTTACTAATATTGCAGAATGTAATTAAATCGACAATAACTCGAGAACATTATCAAAAGATTATTGAATTAGTTGGAAGGAAAACTTTAGCACGTCAAATATTTCATTGAATAAAAATTCTGTCAAAAATAATATCCATTCAAGAATTTTCATAGAAGTGAGGGATTTTTGGCGAAGTATGATTAAGAGTAAAAAGTAATTAAAAAAAAAGATAGAGTCGTTGAGATGAAAAATTTTTGGTGAGCTTTTTTAAACATAATATAATGACACCGGATGATATACGATGACATATGATTACAAACATGGGGGACACGTGATGTCCTTCAATGATGTCATATGAAGATATGTGATGTCATGTGATGACAAATATGATGATGACGTAGATGATGACGAAGATGACAATAATGTATAAGATGAAAAGGTTGGTGAAAACCCAAGACAATTCGAGGGAACTCTCAACACGTTTGCTTTCATCTACTTAAATTCATCATCCATCCATCTATGCATCTATCTATCTATCTATCCATTTATTTATTCATTCATCAATCCATCTATCTATCCATCTATCTATCCATCCATCTATCTTATTATCCATTTATCTGTCCATTCATTAAATTTATATCTATCTATTAATCTTCATATATCATCACTTCATCATCATGAAAAGTAATATCTACAATGATATTATAAATCTGATCATTTTAATCACAGCAACGTCCCACCTGGTATTGACATGAAAGTTGTACTACTAACACTGTTACTAACACTACTAATACTAGCATTGTGACTACGGTCGACACTTCTACCGTAATACTACTGCAATTAGTACTAATGCAGTAGCTACTGTCGTTGCTTCAATTACCACACATATCGCAATTACTACCAGGGTTGTTGCCAGTGCCGCTACTTCTATTACTACATATATTATCTTTATTATTTTTATTTTCACATTTGTTACAAATAAACTGAAAGTATTTCAGACTAATAAATCAAATTAGCATATAAATTTTTCATTATTGCTAAAATTGAGACGGAAAATGTGAAAATTTTTCTAAATTAATCATAAAATTACTTTACTGTTATTGTTCCTAATACTACAGCTACTGCTTTTACTAGTGTTACTTGAGAAACAGAAAAAAATCAGCAACGATTAATAGCAGAATGCTACGATTTCTACATTCTGAGTAAGAATTCCACAATCAACATCCTGCTATATGTTACTATTGCATTTACTGTACCACTAAAATTTGTGAAATACTTCTACTACTACTATCTCTACCACTACTGCTACTACTACTACTACTACTACTACTACTACTACTACTACTACTACTACTACTACTACTACTACTACTACTACAACTACCACTACTACTTTTACTACTACAACTACCACAACTACTACTTCTACTAGTACTACAACTACTACTACTTCTACTACTGCTATTACAACTACTTCTACTACTACTAATATTATTACTACTACTACTTCTACTACTACTACTACTTCTACTACTACTACAACTACCACTACTACTACTTCTACAACTAACAGCGGACAGACATTTCAAAAGTTAAAACACGTGATCTTCTGATCAAAGAGATATTTAATTTGTTTTTCTCACACACGCACACTATTGAGAGCGGCTTAACACACGCACACACACACACGCACACACGCACACTATTGAGAGCGGCTTAACACACGCACACACACACACACACGCATACACACACGTGCACACGCACGCATTCATACTTATTTAATCATATACACACAAAAATACACAAATGCATACACGTGTTTGGACAAATAAACAAGAGCAGATAAAACTAAACGTTTACATTTATGTTGAATAAACACTGTTATCTTTACAGTATATTTACACCAACCAAAGACATTCGTTTTTACCTCTGTATTTCTATTTCTATTAATATCATAATATATCCATTCACACAAATGTTAACACTTTCACTCATTCGTACAATTTTACACATGCATAAACACACACACACACACACACACACACACACACACACACACACACACACACACACACACACATACATACACATACATACAAATGTAGAGAAGCATACATGCATACTCATACCAAAAAACACGAACTAAAAAATACAAACACACTCCACCACACACATACACACACATACACACAAACAAACAAACACACACAAACACTATAATTTTTATAATTCTATTTATTTTTTATACCATAATATCATTACCTGTTGTAATAATAAGAAATAACAAAATTACTACTGATAATAGTAAGAATAATAATATATTTATAGCAGAGGGCATAATTAATAATAAGAATAATAATAAATAAACGACATAGATAATTTATCAAGTGTTGTGAAGTGGTTTTATATCGTCACGCAATACAATAATTAAAATGGATAATAATAATAATTATTATTACTCTTATTGTAAAACATATGTACGTGTGTTTGTATGTGTGTATATGTGTATGGAATGAACACGTGTATGTGTGTGTGTGGTGTGTGTGTGTGAGAGAATTGTTTCTTAATGTATGTGTTCGTATATGTCCGTATAATGTATGTGTCGTGTGTTTGTGTGTGTGTGTGTGTGTGTGTGTGTGTGTGTGGTTTGTGTGTGTAACTGTATGTTTTTATGTATTTTAATACTTAATACTTTCGTGTAAAATATTAATATTAAGTTAATTTGAACTTTTTAATTCGGTTAACATGTCTTTGATTAATAAATCATAACAAAACAATGATTTTTAAAGACTAATGTGTTTAATTGGAGGAGTGTATGTAAACCATTTAGTATGTATATTTGTTAGCATCTTCATCGTCGTCATCAATATTTTATTTTTATTTTCATTATTATGTATGTTGCTTAAGGGGTTGATTAACTCAAGTGTGTTTGCCAATAACGTCAGCAATTGATAATATGGAAATCTATTAGGAATGTTTTTGGAAACTTTAGATTTCTTAACTATTTTTTCAATATTTGTAAAAACATTACACACACTATATGTATATATATAATATTTGTATGAATGATTTTTTGAATTACGGTAGTTGTTTACACACTATTCATTCATTCATTCGTTATTGATCCTTTTATTATGATTTCAACAGTGATTACACACGCGCATGTACGTGCATGTGTATAGAAAACTGTTTGTCTTATTGCGAAACTCATTGTGAAAATTTTCATTAAGTGAATTTCAGGTAGAATCTCCAACGGCGTTTTTATAAGCATAGACGTACCAGCCTGTGATCGTATGTAATGAAGACGCTCGTGTGTTTATTGTCTACTTCTAGGTTTCTATAGTTCTAATTCAAGAGCTTTAGCACGTGTTTGTTTGCGTGGTGAATATGTAAGTGTGTTTGTGTATGTGTGTGCATCTTGTGTGTACGCTTGTTCATGTATTTGCGCATGTGGGTATGTTCTTTTATATGTGTGTGTGATGTATGGAAAAATGGCGGCTCGTTCTTACGTTGTTAATGAACTTTTGTATTTTCTTATAAATAATTCAAATATGTTAGAAAATGATTGTTTTTTAAACAATACTGCTGATTTTTACAATAACGACGATATAGTATCTGCTTTAAAACAGCTGAAAAATGATTTGGACAATTTAAAATGTGAAAAATATGAAAAGTTAGTCTCGCGGGGTAATCTGAAAAAAGAAAAATTTCTGGAAATAATTTCAATTTTGAAGTTTTTGAATGCAAACGACATGCTAGAAAATGCCCTATTTTTGTTAGTATGAATATGGCAAAAATTCCTAAATTAGACAACTTTTTGAAAATAAATTTTGAAAAAAATTAGAAAAGATATTAGCGACGTGTTAAATAAACAACAAATGCAAATAATAGAATCGTTGCAGCCATTGTTGTCACAACGTGAAGAAAATTTTGCGGCAAAAAATAAAGTAAATACCAAAGGCCGAACAATATCAACAATGAAAATGTAACTCAAAAAGCGAAATCCCATAGCGTCAATGATAAAGTTGTAAAAACTGAAAATTGGGCTGATGATCTCGATACCCCAACCGATAAAAGTATGCAACCATTTACTTTAGTGGAAAAACGTAAACGACTAAATAAGTTTCCAGGAATATTATATGAAACTCAAGATTCCGATGTATTCAACCCCTAAAATACTCAGAAGTTGCCAAAAAAACAAAATCAAAAATAATTGGAAATAAAGTAAATAATGTATGCAAATTAAAAGCAGAGAAAATCATTGTTAAAAAAAGTTTTTTCATGATGAGTAATGTTAAGAAATGCCATCGAAACGATGTAGCCGAATAATTAACAGAAAATGGAATTAGAGTGATATCTTGTTTTCCAATTTTTAACAAAACAGAAATTGAAAACAAAGGCAAAGAAAATAAAATTGATGAATCATCAACAATGTTCAGAGTTTGTGTCGAAAAATCTGATGTTGTCAAAATGAAAGATCCGGACGTAATACCACAACATATAATCGTCCGTGAATGGCAATTCAACCCAAAAATCAGTGAAAAAGTTGTTTCTAACAACGATGTCTGATTCAATTTTGTCAATGAACGTTAATCCAAGTAAGCATTGCAAAATTTTTATTAATGATGAAAACTCTCAGCAAAATATTGCCAACATATGTAAGATTTATGATGTAAATGATTTTAACTCTGAAATGAAAATAATTAAAAATCAATTTAATCAAAATTTATTCAATATCCTACATATAAACGTAAGAAGTTTGTTGAAATCTGATGACATTTATGATTTCTTGCGAGAATTGAATTTTGAGATTGATGTTCTCGCAATTTCTGAAAGTTGGCTCAATGACAGCAACGAAAATTTGATTAACATTAACGGATATGTCTTTAAAGGTAAGCACCGAAGAATAAAACACGGTGGAGGAGTCGGCTTTTACATAAAAAACAATTTAGATTACAAAATCCGAGACGACATAACAAGTATAAAAAATGAATTCGAATTTCTCGTTCTAGAAATAATAAACAGACCTATCACAAAAATTGTTTTAATCATTGTGACATACCGACCACCAACTTATGATGTCAATTCGTTCATCGAATGTTTAGATGATATTTTGCTGGTTGCAAATCATGAAAACAAATTAATAATAGTTGCAGGTGATTTCAACATTGACCTGTCAGAAAGTAACAACAACAACAATAAGTTCAATTTTTTGCAACTTATGAACAGCTACAGTTTACAACAAACAATAACAATTTCGACAAGAGTAGAATGCAATCGACAATCTATTATTGACATCTTCACAAACATTCCTGAAAACATCTTGGTTTCCGGCGTTATTTCTCACTGTCTTTCCGACCACCAGCCAGTTTTTTCATCAATCAATCTTTCAAAAAAAATGTTTATGTTTCCTGAAAAAAGAAATGCTCCATCAGTAAAATTTTCTTATTCAACAAACAGAATCAACAATCTAAATCAACGTCTCAGTCAGGTGAACTGGCAAGTCGTATATGAGAGCGCAAATATTGAAAAGGCATTCAAACTTTTATAACTATTTTCCAGGAATGTTTTCGTAAATGCTGTCAAGTTACCAATCGAAATACTATCATAAAAACAATAAAAAACAAACCTTGGGTCTCTTCTGAGTTAAAAAATCTCATCACAAAAAGAAATAAAAGTTACAAAAAGTTTCTTTTGATTCCTAATAATAATAATTTAAATAAATTCAAAAGCCTTAAAATAACTTGTAATAAACTAAATAAATCTTTAAAAAAAATTATTATCATCATCTTTTTGAAAAATATAGAGGAGATAGCAAAAAATCGTGGACTGCTCTGAACGAGTTAAAAAATGGAAAAGACGTAAAACCCGATAGTATACAAAAATTAACAAATGAAGAAATTGAAATACCTGACCCAGCAAATGCTTTAAATAACTATTTTGTTGAATTAGCACCGAATTTACTGAAGCTCATTCCACGGAATTCTCACTGGAAGAATTACTTCAAGACATTTGTTTCCAACTCGTTTTTTTGTAGATACGCAACGGTTGATGAGATCATTGCAACAACAAAATCTTTGAAACAAAAACATCAGGTGGCTATGATGACATACCGACAAAAATTGTCGTCTCTACGATTCATTCTACTGTGTTTGTTCTAGAATATTTGATAAATCTATCTTTTGAAAAGGGCAAATTTCCAAGCTGTCTCAAAATCGCCAAGGTAATTCCTATTGAAAAAATTAAAGGAAAAACAGATTTATCAAATTTTCGCCCTATATCACTCTTGCCAGCATTTTCAAAAATACTTGAAAAACTAATGCACCGACGAATGACTAGTTTTTTGCAAAAAAATAATTTTTTGTCAAATTCCCAATTTGGTTTCAGAGAGAAATTTTCTACAGAATTAGCAATCGTAGAACTAGTTCGCAAGATTGGCATCAATACTGAATGTAAGAGATTTGTCATTGGAACGTGCTTAGATCTGTCGAAAGCATTTGATTGCATCAACCACGACATCATGCTCAACAAGTTGGAAAAGTACGGTTTTAGAAATACATCACTGCATTGGTTTCGTAGCTACTTAACAGAAAAAAAACAATTTGTCTATGTGAACTATGAAATTTCCAGTCTGCTCGGAAACAACAACGGTGTGCCTCAAGGAAGCATCCTAGGTCCTTTGTTATTTATATTGTACATAAACGATCTTCCAGCTGCATCAGCGTTTTTTGACTACGTAATTTATGCTGATGACACGAATGTTTTTAGCAGCGGCAGATCAATGAAAGAACTTACTGAGGAAACAAACAGAGAGTTAAAAAACATAATCTCTTGGTTCGAAGCCAATAAACTTTCAAATAACAGTTCAAAAAGCCAAATGATGGTTTTTGGACCCGTTCAATATCTAAATTACAAGGAGCCGCATAAAATCATCTTAGGTAACAACACAATTGTTGAAACAAAATGTTAAAACTTCTAGGCATGCTGCTCGATCAGAAACTCTCCTTCAAACATCACATAAAACAAGTATCATCCAAACTTTCAAAGTCAATAGGAATGATAAACAGAGTAAAATCATTTTTGCCAAAAAACTGTTTGAATCTTCTGTATAATTCCCTGTGCATTCCGTTAATAAACTACTGCAACATTGTATGGGCTTCATCGTACCACACATCAACCTTACCAATAGAAATATTAATCAAAAGAGCAGTTAGATTGATAACGAGATCCAAACGATTTGAACACAGCCAACCATTGTTCAACAGCACGCGAAACTTGAATTTCTCGAAACTCAGCATTTACTTTCTGATGATTTTTGTTTATAAACAGTTAACCAATCGATTACCTGATTTATTTAACAGTTATTTCAAGATGAAACAACAATGTCGGCAACAAAATAATCTTGTCTCCAACAAATCGAAAACGAATATTTTGTTCTCTCACGTGTATTGCAAGGGACCGAGAACCTGGAACGAAATTTTAAACAGTGGATTTAATTTTGAATTTATTTCGTTAAACAATTTAAAAAAAAATTAAAAGAATATTTACTTAAGTTTAAAACATAAATTTTTTGTTTTTAAAATTACGTTTAAATTCTGTTAAAAACTTATAACATTTTAAAAATTATGTCAAGGTGGTCACACTCGATGAGTTTCTGAAAAGAACTCTACTGTGGTCATCCTGTCTTCTTCTTATTGATATAAAGGGGAGAGAATTTTTTTTTTTCTCTTTTTCTTAGATTAATTTTGAGAAGCAAATAAAAATTCGTTTCGTTTCGTTCTTTTATATGTGTGTGTACGTGTTGTAGCATATGAGCGCATCCATTATTAGTCCATACGTGTTCGGATTAATTTGTTAATTCTGTTTAATTGTACGTAATTCGTGAGCATTCGATTGTGTGCGCGCGTGTATGCGTGTGCGTGATTGTGTGTGAATTTGTTGCATGTGTGATTGTATGCGTGCGTGTGCATTAGCGTTTATATGTGTTTTCGTGTGTGTGTGTGCTTGTGTGTGAATGTGTGTGTGTGTGCTTGTGTGTTTGTGTGTGTGTGTTTGTGTACGTACATCAGCGTATACTTCATGCCGCTACATGCTGCGTCTTAATAGAAGCAAATCTGTTTCAATTTTCAGAGAAGAATAAAATGGAAAAATAAAGATAACTATAATATATTAATAAAAATAATAATTTCAATAATAATAATAATAATAATAATAATAATGACATCAAGCTATGCTGTGAAAAAGTTGCCGGCAATAATAATAATGAAAGTACAGTAGAGATAATGGTGGTGATGATGACGACGACGATGATGACAATGATGATGATGATGAAGATGGTGATGAAGAAGATGATGATATTGATGATTATGAAGATGATATTGATGATATTGATGATGATGATGATGATGATAATGGTGATGGTGATGATGATGATAATGATGATGGTGGTGGTGATGATGATGTTGATGATCACGATGATGACCAGTTCCGTCTGGCAGACTGAATATTTCATGGTCCCGCTTTTATAATAGTATAAATAAAATCAGTACCGAGCTGGCAATGATGGTGATGAATATAAAAATGATGACTACGACGATAACAAAGGGGTTGATGTTAAAAATGATGATGATAACGACGATGATAATGATGACAGTGATGATAATAATGATGATGACAATGATGATGATGCTGGTGATGTGCGCGCGTGTGTTATGATAATGACGGAGACAATAATCGTTTAAAAAAATATAAAAACCAAAATCGTTGTTAGCAAACTAGTAGGCATGAACAAAATTTACATCTGTAAACATTGACAATACGGACCCAAGCGCAATAAGAAAACAACAACAACTTTTGTGATCAAACCTACAATGACAACAACATTAAAAACAATTGCTCGGTCTTCCAAACTATAACACCAGCAATACAAACAACACTCTTTCTTTTAACTTCTCCATTTCTCTCTTTCTTTTTTTTTCTCTCTCTCTTTCTCTCTCTTTTTCTTTTTCTTCTCTTTTTTAATTCTCTCCCTCAACATCTTTCTCTTCAACGCCATCAAACGAAATCGACACGGAAACTGCAACAATAAAAAACATTGTCCTCGTCTTCTCTTTTTTTTTGTCTTTCATTGTCCCCGTTTTAGCAACCATGATGTTTTTCCCTTCTCTCTTTTCTTTTCTTTTTCTTTTTTTCTTTCTTTTTTTCTTTTTTTCTTTCTTTCTCTCTCTCTCTCACTCTCTTCATGATTCACTCTCACGATATCATTCATCCATCCTTTGTATCTTTTTTTCTTTTTTTTCATTCTTTCTCTCTCACTCTCTCTTATTTTTTTTCTTTTTCTTCCCCCCCTTCATTCCATTGTCATTCTCATCCTCATCACCATCAGACAAAATGTACATAGAATGGAATGATTTGGAAGGCCCTGCAATAAACAGCCTGCATCATACTCCTGGTTGGACACTTTCATTCAATTAGTCTTCGATCTGTTTGCAGATACGAACGTGTTCGTGTGTGTGTGTGTTTGTTTGTTTGTTGTTTGCTTGTATGTGTGTGTGTGTTTGAGTATGTTGTTTGTTTGTGTGTGTTTGTTGTTTGTTTGTGTGTGTGTGTGAGTGAGTATGTTGTTTGTTTGTGTGTGTGTGAGTATGTTGTTTGTTTGTTTGTGTGTTAGTTGTTTGTGTGTGTGTGTGTGTGTGTGTGCGTGCAGATGTTTGTAGATGTTTAACAAATTTGACAATGACACAGATGATAGTAAAGATAATGACGATGGTGATAATGACGATGACGAGATGACGATGATGACAATAATAGAAACGATAAAATTATTGACAGCGCAAAAAGGTCTATCTACCAGTTGAAGTTTTTTTTTTCATTAACGAACAAAAAAGTTCGTGTTCTATTGTTGAAGAATAACGGAAAGATGACGGCGATGGTGGCTGTGGCGATGATAGCAACGATGGTGGCGACAATGTTATTTGCAATTCCAATAACACAGCCAACGCAGCTATTGCGATTACTACAGCAGCTGCTGATAATGACGATGAGAAATATATGACGAGGATGATGAAAGAGATGACGTTTGTGATGACGATAGCGATGTACACTCTAACGACAATTCAATATTAGTAATAATACTAACAACAACAACAACAACAACAACTAAATCAACAACAACATCAGCAACAACAACATCAACAGCAACAACATCAACAACAACAACATCAACAACAACAACATCAACAACAACAACATCAACAGCAACAACATCAACAGCAACAACATCAACAACATCAACAACATCAACAGCAACAACAACAGTAATAATAATTGATAAAATGATGGTAATAAGTACAATGCAATCATTTTGCTTTCGCGTTACATTCTATTGATTGATGATGATGTGTCATGTGGCTTTTATTGACTGTTTCGTTTGTTGTTAAAAATGATGAGAGGAATTGTATTAATAATAAAAAATAATAATAATAAACATAATTATATAAAATTAGGTTACTTACAAAAAAAATAATATAAAAATATTAAAAAACTGTATAATTAATAAAAATATGAGGATGATGATGAAGGTGTTGATGCTATTAATGGTGATGATGATAATTCTGATGGTGATGACGACGACGCTGATGGTAGCTTTTATCATGATGATGACGACAATGCTGATGACAATTTTCATTATAATGATGATGATGATGATGATGATGATGACGATGACGACGATGATGATCACTCTGATGACGATGAAAACAACTACGATGATGATAATTCATCATCACAATCTAGGGCGTATTGGTTGATCTATTTGAAGAAAATCAATTTCAAAAGTAAAAATTAAATAGTAATAATAACAAGAGGGAGAAGAAGAAGGAGGAGAAGGAGAAGAAGAAGAAGAAGATAAAGAAGAAGATGAAGAATATCAATAATAATATTTTTAATGATATTATTATTGATAAATTATACTGATAAGTTATCAATGAATCCTAGCAACACAGTGATAGAAGACGTAAGCAATAAAATCACCGAGCAAAAGCTTGGTCGATTGGATTAATGAAATCATCTTAATATTAATTTATTGAGAATTTTCATAAATAACATTTTCCCATATTTATAACAACAATAACAGCAACAGATAACAAAAACAGACAGCAAACACAACAACATTACAGCGACAGACAACAACAAAAACAACAACATTACAACGACAGACAACAACAAAAACAACACAGACAGCGACAGACAGCAACAACAACAGCAATAATAATAACAAAAATATTTATAATATCCCAATTATTGATAATGTTAGTTTATCTAATATAATTATTGTTGTACACATTCTATACATTTTGTACCCACATGAACGTACGCTTATCAAAATGAATGATTAAACCATTAAATCAATATTTCTAGAATGATAAACGAATGCATAATGCATATGCAGAATACATAAAGCTGCATATAAAACATTGCAAGTCAGACAGATTTAAAGAAGCCGGCATATAACCACAAATAAAAACATACAACAATCACCCTTACAACTACAAACAAACATGCAACGATAAGAATAAACATACAACAACAATCACAACTCGAACCGCAAACGAATATACAATGATAAACATAAAAATACAAACACAAAAACACAAACAAACAGCGGTAAACATAAACATACAACAATACTTAGCATGGTGAAGGGACATTTATTACACAATAATCGATATTTTCACGGTTGGCTGCTCGCTCATGTATCGGAGCGTGTACACATTTCTAGTCATTTTATAATAATCTCTCTTTCTCTCTCTCTCTCTCTACTCTATGTACCTATGTACTATGCCCACTTCGGCGTGTGTGAGTGTGCATGTGTGTGTGAGTGCGTGTGTGCGTGTTGCACAAGCATTCTGTTTTTGCACACCATTTAGATATGGAGACCGCAAGACACCAAAAATATGAAGCCCATGATTAATTAATTATTAGATAGCATTAATTATTTAGTGGATGCTTTGGTTATTTATTAGATGCCCAAATTATTTAGTAGAAGTCTTTAAATGATAATATTTTTACTCCAAACTAGTAAACAATCAGTGTATTTTCTCGTCTATATTGTGAAGGAACCTATTTTGTTGGGTACCGTTGTAGCGGCCCGCCGGACCTAACTTAAATCCGACTTTGTTCAAGTCTGCCACAACCACACCACATCATAGGGAGTATGATAGTTTCTGAGTTTCTGGCAGAGTTTTTGAATCAGATCATTGCACGAGACATAGCGACACCCTTACCGATTGAGCTAACTCGCCAGCCTTGAAAATTCGGCAGGAATTTTGAAAAATTTAATATAATGATGTGATTTATATTCATCACTATTTAATAATCATTCACGTCAATATTGTTTCGGCCATTCATCGTTCGTTCATTTGTTTTTCTGTTCATCTGTTTGTCGTTTAATTTTTTTAAACAGGTTTAAATTGTCAGCATATTTATTTAATTGCAAATATGTTTAATTAAATTGATTTTTAGTTAATTATTTTAATTTCAATGTTGTGATATGTTTGTTTAAAAATAAATATGAACAGCAAAAACATTAGTAATTAATCATGAAAGTTAAACAAATACCAGACATGTACAAACAAATTATAAAAAAACGCACAACACACCCCACACACACAAACACACACACATACCTTCACATGAGTAGACAAACACACATACATATACATGTGTAGAAATCACCTATGATGAATAAATGGAGTTCAACAAACTAAAGAACACAATCATAAAGGCAATCGCAAATAAAATTTCAATCACTCAAACACACACACACACGCACACAAACAAACACACACACGCACACACACACGCACGCAAACAAACGCGCACACACACGCGCGCACACACACACTCGCACACACTTGCATACAAACCAACACACACAAACATACACACTCACGCACATGCACACACACACACACACACGCACAAACACATACAAAGCGCATACTAGCGCGGCGTCATTTGATTGAATTTAATGACGGCTCAGTAATGGATGCACCCGAAGATGAGAATTTATAGCAAACAGCAATTAATGGCGGCCACTGAAATTTATGAAAAGATGTCCTTTAATTACCTGCCTTTATTTCCTTATACTTGGAACGTGCATTCATTCATCCATCCATCCATCCATTCGTCCATCCATTCATCCATTCATCCATCCATCCATCCATTCATTCCTTCATTCCTACGTCTTTCTGTTTAGATCTTTTTCCGTTTGTCTGTCTGCTTAATCTGCACACGAATGTGTGTTTTGTTCGCATGAATTTGTATGTATATTAAGGGTGTTTATGTTCTGGTATACATGTTTAGGTGTGTGTGTTTGTATATATGTTTGTGTGGGTGTGTATATATGTTTGTGTGTGTTTGTATATATGTTTGTGTGTACGTTTTTGTGCCCGTTTGGGTATGTCTGCGTTTGTAGGTTTGTGCGGTATGTTGTTTTATGTAAAATATTAGACAATTTTGCACACACACACACACACATCAGTATATGTGTAAAAAACACACACATGTGTACATGTTTGTGTGTCTGTGTGTGCGTGTTAGAGTCTGTCTGTGTGTGTAAGTCTCTAATTTAATTGTTTTAGCACTTTTTTAGCAATCAATATACATCCAAATATTTTACAAAAAAATGTATCAAATACAGATCCCATATTTTAATGGGCATCTATAGACAGTGTTTTCATAAAGGCTTGTAGTACCAAATACACAATTGGTTGTAGGAAACAGGAGTTCTTCCGTCACTGGTCCAACAGTTTGGAATAATTTAACACGCCACCTCCGTCAGCCTGGATTAACTCTTCAACAATTCCGTGAAGAACTAAAAGCTCATCTTTTTATGAGTTAAACAGCAAGACTTAAGAAGAGCCTTTGAGATGTTTTAAAGGGTGCTAGAATATAAACTCTCTAATAATAATAATAATAATGATGATGATAAAAATAATAATATAACAATAATAATTATATTTAAAATATTTAGGAATTTAAAATCTTCGACAATATATGCATAACGATTATATTTTCTCTGCTAACTAATAACGAAGTCAAACCATGTTAAGCAGCATGTTTTTTTTTTATATTTTCATGTCAAATAATGAGCTAATAAGTAAATTAACTAAATAAAAACAAAGTCTCTACTAGCAAGAGAAGACATAGACAGAGATGAAAACGCCATAGATAGATAATTAATTCGAAAAACGAAGACATAAAAACAAAATGGCGTTCGTTGATACGCCTATAATCTTATTTACTTCCTTCATTGCAATCATAAAAATAAATATAATTATGGAATGTTAATATAATATTTATATACATATAAATATGAGTATGAATAGGTAATTTTTTTTATTACAAGCTCAGGGCAGTTCATAAGAGGCCGTAAGGCTGCGCGCGTGTTGTCTGATGTCCGTACGAAATAAATATAATAATTAATAATTATGAATAATTTTTACAATAATAATATTATTATTATTACTACTACTGCTGCTACTACTACTACCCCTAATGTTAATAGTACTAATAGTATTACTACTATTATAACTGCTAAATGTCAGATTGAATATTTTTTGTAAAGATATTTTGCCTCTGTTTCAAGCATTTATATATTTTTATTGTCTCCATAATCATTTTATATGCATCTGCTTTAGCTATTGTTCTTTATTTCCTTTCTATTTAGTATTTAGAGTGACGATATGGTTTAATGGTTAAGACGCCCGGTCCCATTTTAGCGGTAACCTGGTTCGATCGCAAAGAGATCCCCGCCTGTCACGTGTAATGCGTTGTGTGGGGCCTGGATGGACGCGACTCAGTAGTGTTGTGTGTGTTGTTGTTTTGCTGCTGTGTGTGTTGTTGCTGTCATTGTTGTGACTGCTGGTATTGTTAAAGTTGTTACTGTTGTTGTTGTTGTTGCTGTGCAGCGAAACACCTACGTAATTAAAAATCAAACTTGATTTCACGACTGAAAAGACTTTAACGCCTTTTCCGACATTTTCTCCAGCTCGTTCGCTTCGCTGCTCCCTCTTTTTTACAGACTTTAGATTTAAACATTCTCATTTTCATGACTGCTAGTGTAATTTTGTTGTTGTTCTTGTTGATGTTGTAGATGTTGACGTCTTAATGTTGTTTATGGTGTTGTATGTTGTTGGCGATGTTGATGTCGTAATGTTGTCGTTTGGGTTGTTGTTGTTAGTGTGGTAAATGTTGGTGTTGTTGTGATTGCGATTGAATGTTGTTGATAACTTTTTTGATAGTTTAATTTGTTGTTGCAGGTGTTGGCTTTTTGGTATTGTCGTTTCTTTGTTATTTTTGGTGATTTTGTTTTTTTAGTTGATAATTATTTCAGAAATTTTTTCATTTTGAAAATTTTTTAGAAAAGTTGAATTAATTTTTAGTTGAGTTTCATGTCTTTCGTAGATATTTTAAACTTGTTTCTAGTAAACTGCTTTGAGATCTAGCTAGCAACATAAACGTTTTTAATAACCATTCTTATTAATTAATCACATCAAAAACAATTACATCAATTTTTTAATAAAAAAAAAACATTTCAAACATTTAAAAAAAAGCTACAACATTAAATTTAATTACAAAAACAACAAATTTTCAGATGAGATCGTTAAAGATGACACCAACAACGACAACAAAATCAGTAACATTTGCGACAACTCCAACAACAAAAACATCCAAAATCTAGACCGCATCACATAAAATATTCTCATCAATAAATCATAAAGGTGATCAGAAAGATTAATTAGCATGAAAAAAGCCTTATAAAACAACATAAGTAAACATCAACAAAACAATGAAAAACATTATACTATTATTGGAAGACAACAATTACAGTAGTAACATTAAAAACATCAACACCAAAAATTACAATAACATCAACAGTTGCAAAAACATCAACAACAACAGCAATAGCAACAACGATTTTCAGCCAAATGACATTTCAGAATTAATTACCGACTCACCTGTTTGAACGAATTTTCAAATTATCATCATCGTCGTCGTCATCATTGAAGTATCATTATCACATGGCATTTTCACATCAACAATTTAATTTCACCATCTATCATCATCATCATAATCATCATAATCGTCATCATCATCATCATAATCATCATAATCGTCATCATCATCATCATCCTCATCATCACCCTCGTTACATCAACATCAAATCATCATCGTGGCATTATCATCATCTTATCATTCTTACACCACCATCATAACGTCAACAACGATCCATTATCTCATCACTGTTATCAGATTATCATCACCAAACGATCATCATATTCCTCCATCCTCACTAGTGCTAGAGGCAATATGATAACAAATTTTCTTTCATCACCATCATCATTACATCATCATTTTACTTAGACATCTCACCATCGTTATCATATCCTCATCACATTACCACCACACATTTTTCCACCACAAAAAAACATTTGAATAACATCACCACCGTAATTTTTACAAATTGAAGAACGCATTTTCACCATATTACGATCATCTTATTACGAAATCACCAATAGATAAACACACTCAGACCATATCACAACCACATCATCACCACATCATCACCACATCATTACCACATGTCTCATCACCACCCAACACCACCAAACACCACCAAACACCACCCACCACCACCCAACACCACCCACCACCACCCACCACCACCATAAGCAGCAGCTGGAAAAGCATTAATATAACAAAGATCGTAGTCCTAAATCATAGTTAGCTTCGTTAATTAGAATGCATTTATCATTATTTAAGTAGTTAAGGATTTACTTTTTCGCCAGCCGAACATTTTTATTAGATTTTTTTTAAATTTAATTTTAATTCATTTTAATTCTTGGTTTTGTCTAGTTTTGTTTTATTATGTTAGCTTACTGATTTGTTTCATTTAGTATTTGATTGTGGAATTATTTGAAGTTTCTTGAAAAATACATCATTGAATGGTTGGTTGGTTGGTTTGGTTGGTTGGATGGTTGGCTGGTTGGTTAGTTTGTTGGTTTGTTGGTTGGTTGGCTAGTTGGTTGTTTGGTTGGCTGGTTGGTTGGCTGGTTGGTTGGATGGTTGGTTTGTTGGATAGAAAGATAGATGGATAAATGGTTGGCTGGTTGGATGCATGAATGGATAGATGGATAGATGGATGGATAGGCAAACACACCAGGAAATGAATAATTGAATGGGTGAATTGATTGATTAATGAATGAAAGAATAAATTGATGGATGGATGATTCGGGAAAAAGATTGATAAATCGTGGGATTAGTTCATTCAATTATTCATTTTTTTATTCTTCTCTTTTCGCGTAATTTTGTCGTCAAGTTAATGGCTTTTTAAAAGTTTCACTCTCTCAATCATTCATTCCTTTATTTATTTTATTTTAACTTTTCAGTCAATCTTTTTTTTATTTAAAAAAATTTTTTTTTTTAAATTTTTTATGTTTAAGGTATATTTTACTTATCTTAAGTTTAGCGATGTAAGAAGAACTCTGCTAAACACCTGTTACATTAGAATAATTTTTCAAAACTCCTCTTTTAAAATTTTTTTAGAATATTTTTTTGTACACGTTATCTTTTTTTCCTTAATTAAAAATTATTAATTGAAAAAGTTCAATGCTTCATTGAAACTCTTCTCCATTTAACCGTTCGGTGATGAACTCTTCCTCTCATTCATTCACATAAAAATATTTGTGTTATTCACTCACTCACTCACTCACTCACTCACTCACTCACTCACTCACTCACTCACTCACTCACTCACTCACTCACTCACTCACTCACTCACTCACTCACTCACTCACTCACTCACTCACTCACTCACTCACTCACTCAC